GAGCGAGCCTGGGCGAGGACTTACGTCAGCGTCTCGCCGTCGGCCGCCTCGCCGTCGGCCGCCTCGCCGTCGGCCGCCTCGCCGTCGGCCGCCTCGCCGTCGGCCGCCTCGCCGTCGGCCGCCTCGCCGTCGGCCGCCTCGCCGTCGGCCGCCTCGCCGTCGGCCGCCTCGCCGTCGGCCGCCTCGCCGTCGGCCGCCTCGCCGTCGGCCGCCTCACCGTCGGCCGCCTCGCCGTCGGCCGCCTCGCCGTCGGCCGCCTCGCCGTCGGCCGCCTCGCCGTCGGCCGCCTCGCCGTCGGCCGCCTCGCCGTCGGCCGCCTCGCCGTCGGCCGCCTCGCCGTCGGCCGCCTCGCCGTCGGCCGCCTCGCCGTCGGCCGCCTCGCCATCGGGCGCCTCGCCGTCGGCCGCCTTGCCGTCGGCGCCTCGCCGTCGGCGTCTTGCCGTCGGCGTCTCGAGCGTGTAGGGAGTACGGCATGGAGGTCTTTCCCCGTATGTTCACTGCGTGGGTGCCACTTTGTGTCCGTTCGTGATGTAGTGATGTCGTACATACGTTCGGAGCAAAGTTTCTTGCTGTGGGTGTTTCGTGGCGCGGTGTTTTTCTCCTGTCGTGCCGGCAAGCAGCAACAGCGACAACGACAGCAAAAGCACAAAGGCAGCAAACTGCAAAGATAAGGTCACCAAACTCAGATAGAAGCTGCAAAGCCGGCCGATGGTTATTGTTGCGGTGTTCAGTATTTGTGCTTGTATTTGGCTTGTATTTGTGCGCAATTGTATGTATGTATGTTTGTATATAGGTGTTCAAATGTGGGTGAGAATGTGCTCGCGCGCGCGCGTGTGCGTGTGTAAGTGTCTGTAGGTGTGTGTAAGAGGGTGTATGTGTGTGTGCACGCGCACGCATGTATACGTATGTGTGGGTAGGTGTGGGGGTGCTACTGTTTTTACTTGTGATGGAGAATTCCCAACTGCCCGCGATCCGCCTGTGTGCTTATTAGTATGTTTCTGCATTTTGTGCGCAGCTGCTCATGTTGTTTTGCCGTGCAAAGTCTGTGCTCGTTGCGTCCCCTGCTAGCTGATTAACAGCGTGTGTGTGTGTATTTCCCCGCCCACCTCCCGCCCGATCCCCCCGCCGGTCTGAGTGAGCCTGGGCGAGGACTTCCAACAGGACAACAACATGCATCGGCGCGACGAGCCGTCGCCACCGCCGTACATCGCCGTACATCGCCGTCATGTGTGAAAGTGTAAGTACGAGAGGGGCCTCGTTTCACACGTCCCCCCCCCGTCCTGCAACGCTTTGCCATAGCATGTCGGA